CCGCTGCCTTACTGCATTGCAGCATTAAAAAAAAAATGTGCCAAAATTTTATTTAAATGTATAAAATCGAAACAGATTACAGTGCTTGTATTTGGGGGAGTGGTGCCCTAGTAGTTAGGACATTGCGCTTGGATCCCAGACGTTGTGAGTTCAAGACCCACTCCAACAGAATGCCCCTCTGGGTCCCTGAGCAAGACCCTTAACCCCCACACTATTCCCGGGGTGCCGCACAATGGCAGCCCGCTGCTGCCCCAGGGGATGGGTTAAATGCAGACAGTGAATTTTGCTGCTATGTACTAAGTTGTGACGACAGTAAAGTTGACTTGTATTCTACTCTATTCTTATTTTATTGTATTGTATTTACATAAAACTAAATATCGCTCAAATAAAGGCTGCTGCTACAACCAATTTTGGATCCCTTTATTGTATATTTTTATTTTATTTATTTATTGTTTATTATTATGTTTGTGCTTGTGTAGGTGCACTTCAATTTTAAGGACCTTAGGGGTTTATTTTTGAGTTTTTTTTATATGTTTTATTGTCTGTATCTTGAAATGTTTCTTACAGTGTAATCAGTCTTAAATGAATGGCATTGCATGTTATCTTCTTTAGCCTTGAGCTAACACCATGTCTGTTCATTAAAATATATTATTCCATTTAAGTAAAAGGAAATACAATAAGAAAAGAAAAACAAAATTGTAAATAGGAACAAACTGGGGTAGCTGCTTTATGCAGAAAAAAAAGGACATTTATTTTTCCCACCAAAACTTTGATGCTAGTTGGTGCATTTACCAAGCACACACTTCTTTGAATTAAACATGTCAAATGCCATATTTTCCTGGCTTTGCTAAACAATTTCCTCAGTCTTCAGGTATTAATTTAAACATAGTGTCCTTTTTTTAAATTGACCTCTCCATTCGTTTTACAGTTATTCTCGCAAGTTTGTAGAACCAGCGATTGGCATGGGTGTTACAGAGGGAACCCGTTTGGACAAAACCAAGTTTTTGACACATGGAAATAGCTGCAGTCTGTGGCGAGCTAACGTCCATAATGAGACGGGAAAAGCCTCGTTCCTTGCAGAAATCCAAAGCCCTCCGTGTGAGCCGTGAGCCCAGATTTTTGCGGCGCCATGAAAACGCCACAATTATGTGAGACATTTGGGCATAACTTCTGTTGACGGCATCTTGAGCGAACTCTGTGCCGCTCACTGCTCCGTTCAAGTCGTCAAACCTTTCACCGTCGTCTTCCTCCCTTTTGCCCATCACCGCCACCATCCCCACCACCTTGGCCTGCCCGTTGACATCTACTTCTGCCACCCAGAAGCCATTATCTGGATTTTCCAGGTAGCTTGCTTGAATGTAGGCCATATCAGCACTTAGCCTCCCCATCATGTAGCGATCGTAGATGTCATGGCAGCAGTAATAAACAAAGCCAGCCCAAATACTGCCAAAGAGCAGAGCTTGAAAGTAGGAGCTACCTCCAAGGACATAGCCAGCCATGGAAATGCTCAAAGCAATGCCGACATGGTCTGGGTTGCTTATGGCCTTGAAAAATGCTGGATAAATATGTTCAAATATTCCATCGTGAAAGAGAGACATGACCACATGTTGATCTGATGGTCTGTATTCCCTGATGGAGAACTGAACTGAAAAGAAAAAGAGGGGAAGGGAAAAGAGACTCCGTGAGACTAATCTGCCTGTTTCTGTAACCACAAATTCCTGATGGATTTCACAATAAGCTCAACAACCTTAAATACTTTTAAAAAATCCTTAAATGTGCCTCTTTTTGCAAATAAGAATTTTCATTGTAATTAAAGTCTTTGCATTAATATAAAACATACATTTGCATGACAACCTGAGGTGAAATTCACAATTGAAATCATTAGACCCATTATTTCATTTTCAGATTCCAAGCAATGAGTCATTGCCTGTTGAAATACAATTATGTTTCAAATGTGCTGCTGATAAAAATCCAATAAAGGTGAGATCTTGAGGCAGCAAACAAAGGGTCTGAAGTTGCACCGAACAGTATGACATGTCATCTGCACATTTAAATGTAATATCCCCCTCTGGTGTTAGTAATCTTGATTATAATGAACTCCTCTAGCATGAAAAATAAATGAATTAAATAGCAGAAAAGAGTCAAACTTACGGTCGCTTTTGTTGGCCATGTTGACTCTTTCTTCTCGCTTTCTGCTCACACTAAAGGACTTAACACTGCTGCTACTGTGCCTGGATTTGTGCTACAGATTGTGATAATCAGCTGTGCATGAAAAAGACTGAACATATTCTGAGCATGCTCAACATGCACACACACACAGAAGGCCTTAGCCGACTTACGACCACTGATTATAAAAAGCATTGAAAAATGTGTGTACTAACCCACAGTTATACTGAGATGATATTGATTTGTGGAAGTGTGTTAAAAGTTTGATTGAAATTATTCACAGCAATGATTTGATTATAAAACATAGACTTTTTTTTTAAACCTAATTAGCTTAGTCAACAGAGTAAAGAACTCAATCATTGGGATTGTTTGGGAGAATGAGCACAGATCCTGAATAAATTAAGTTGCAAAACTGAGTAGAATGTAAATCCGACTCGGCTGAGGTTTTAATCCCTAGCCAGAAATGTTCCCAATGCACACGCTTCTCAGTGAAATAGAACATTATTCAAAAGATCAGAAAGTGCAACTGATATTATTCATTTTACACAGAAGAATGATTTAAAATATAAATTAAAAGCCTCTATTTCGGATAGTTTTGATGATTGTATTAAATCATCAGTTGATAAAAACTCAAAATGTTACGGTTAAGGTTTCATAAAATGAGTCAGAAATACAGATTACCTCATATAAAAATGGCAGCCTGCTCAAAAGTACTATATGTCCATTTTCTCTATAGTATATGCTCTAAGTAAACAGTTGTAGCTCATTTTCCATGATTTTCTGCATAAGGTGAGGTGGGGTGTAAGACAGAGGTATCAAGTAACAAAGTACAAATAATTTGTTACCTTACTTAAGTAGGAATTTTGGCTATCCATACTTTACTCGAGTAATTCTTTGCATCGGTGAGGTCACACCCCAATGTTTGATGAGAAGGTCTGACTAAGTCTCCACTCTATTTCATCCTAAATGTGTTCTACCAGGTTTAGGCCAGTCAAGTGAATCTACACCAGACTCTGCCATCCATGTCTTTATGGACCTTGCTTTTTTTTGCAGGTCCACAGTCATGTTAGAAGAGGAGGTCCCCCTCAAAACTGTTCAGCCAAAGTTGGGAGCATGGAATGATCCTTGTGTTCCTTTGACTGGAACTAAGGGGCCAAGCCTAGCTCTTGAAAAGCAACCCCATAATCTGATTTCCTGATGGAGAAACCCAATTATTGGGCTGTTCAGTGGGGCAGTGGGTAGCACTGCTGCCTTGCAGCAAGGAGGTTCTGGGTTTGATTCCCGGCTCAGGGTCTTTCTGAGCCGGGAATCGAGTTTGCATGTTCTCCCTGAGCATGTGTGGGTTCTCTCCGGGTACTCCGGCTTCCTCCTACAGTCCAAAAACATGACTGTTAGGTTAATTGGCTTCTCTAAATTGTCCTTAGGTGTGACTGTGTGTATGAATGGTTGTTTGTCTGTGTGTCTTTGTGTTGCCCTGCAATGGACTGGTGACCTGTCCAGGGTGTACCCCGCCTCTCGCCCATTCACTGCTGGAGATAGGCACCAGCACCCCTTGTGACTCCAATTGGGACAAGTGTGTCAGATAATGGATGGATGTAATCAATCTCCACCTTTCTGGAGTTAAGTGGATGGGTGCTTTACACCACTCCATCTGACAATTTGCATTGGACTTGAATTTAGGTGCTATGAGGTGATTGACTCTGCAAAAAGTTGTTGACTTTGCACTATGCTCTTCAGCATCCACTGACCCATCTCTATCAGTTTGGTACAGTTTGTACTTGTTGTTCCCAAGCACTTCCATTTTCTTATAATACCACTTACAGTTGACTTTGGAATATTTAGAAACGAAGAAATTTCATGAGTGGATTCAATGCACAGGTGGCATCCTATTCCAGTTCCAGACTGGAACTCCCTGAGCTCCTTAGAGTGACCCATTCTTTCAGAAATATCTATAAAAACAGCCTGCATGCCTGGGTGCTGTATTTCATACATGAGGGGCCACTGAAGCGTTTAAACAAAACAGATTCCAGACCTTTAGATGGATGAGTAAATACTTTTGATCTTATTGTGTAGCTGTAAGCAGGAAGTGTCATGTTGGGGTTTAATCGTCTAACCCACATGCAGAAACACTCAGAGACAGGGAAAAAGTTAGAAGATTTATTGACAATGTTTTCAGAGAAATATGAACGTCGTCTTGGTTAGTCAGGCTGGTCACGGGAGGGAAGCAACTAGAGGAGGACAGATTGGTTAGAGAGGATCCAAGAAACTTGCTGCTCAAACGGCGGCTTGGACTTATACCTGCTCAGAGGGTATTCTGATCAGCAGGGGGGGAACCTTGTGGGTCCAGAGGCTGGTCGGCAGGCTGAGGGCAGAGGGCAGAGGCGGAGACAGAGGCTGAGGCGGAGGGCAGATAGGCAGGTTCCAGGCGGCGAGTTTTCTCCAGGAATCGACTGGTTTCCAGGTTTGTCAGGTTCTGAGAGGCAGAAGAAAACAGAGTCAGAGGGTTCTCAAAAAATCAGGAAAAACAGATCAGATTAGGCTGGCTCAGGTTTGCTGGTACCATTACTGGCAAACACTCTGGCAGGGAAGTGTCAGCCTCCTCCTCCTTAAGTAGGCCTCTAGATGAGCAGATGGGAAACAGGTGTGCAGAAGTCAGCTCACGCCCTCAGGAGGAAGATCTCAGGCGCCCTCTAGTGGAGAAAGGTAGACAAGCCTCCAGATCCCAACAGGAAGGTTCTTCTAAAGAGGTTTATCTTGCACTGGATTTGGAGAAGCCTTTGACTAAAGACACTGTATTGTTTTTTTAGCAGGCTAATGAAGAGGATGCTAAAGGTTTCCCATAATGATTTCATTACATTGAATTCCTTGGAGTAAAATGATCTACAGAGGTTTAATTTTTCTATCCCTCTTTAGATTTATTTCTGTGTTATTAATGTCGGTGGTGTGATCCTGCAGCCATGTTTCAGTTAAACACATAATATTGAATTCCCAATATTCTGGCTCGGTCCTTGCCAGGGCTCGGAGTTCTAAAAATATGACTGAAGGAAGTGACTTTTAACAAACAGTTTCTTTACCAATGACCTTTTGTCAGTGATTCTCATTTTTAATGAATGTCTGCTGGAAACCAGATAAGTCAGGAATCTTGGTTATGGTTCTATAGACCATAACCTGGCCATTTCCAATTTAAGAATTCTTTTTGTAAGTTTCTTAAAAACGTTAAGTATTTCTTTGTACTTGAGTCTGTAATCAGCCTTTATAACATATAAATGTTAATGAATAAGATTCTCTGAATATGCTAAAGAGCTTGTACAAGCCTTTATGAGTAGGTACATTTTGGGGGCCTTTCTGGTGATTTTGTTACTACAGTTGAGGGTGGGCATAACATTACTACTGCCTGTCTCTCTGATGTAAAGATGTCCTATGCTGATCGTGACTTTTGCAATAATCTGGTGGCCCTCTGACTTGACTCAACTTTCCTCTGCAGAATAGGGGTTTTTACACTGACTTTAATCAATAGCTTTGCTTCATGCATCTGTGGGGGCCAGATGGTCATGCTCTGCAAGAAGCCTCTGGAAATTTTAAACAACCATTATGCAAATCCTGATCCCCTGAACCTCCAAACTCACTCACTAAAAGTAAGTCCATTATGTGTGAACAAATCCTTTCAAAAATCTAACTTTTCTCTTGTTTTCATCTTAATCTTAATGAAATCCCAATGGATCATTCTAACACTTCGGTAATAATAAATACAGTGAAATAAATTAAAAGCACATGATCATTGGCCTCATTAAGCTTAATGTGATACATTTCTCATGGAGTAATTATTTCCCATCTTATGTTGAAAATTTAATTTTGCTTAATAGATTAGTTTAATCAAATGTAAAACCCTGGAAATGTGCTGATTTTTAGTTTTCTTAGAGATAGTATTGACACAAAAGCCTTGGCGCTGTTAAAAAAAACTACTTTGACAATTATCATGATTTTTCATGCCTGAATGTTTCATTTTGTCAAAACATAAACTCTGTTATTCTTATTATCTGATTTGACAAAAATCAATGTGAAGACGCGGCGGACTGGAGTCGTAACAGGAAGCCCGGGCCACATGCGGCTACGCTCTACCCCTTCTATTCATTCGGCTAGCTAATGTGAATCGTTCAATTCCATTTCGAGAAAACGAGATCATCTGTGGTAGTAGCACTAGACATCTTCCATGCATGTGAGTAAAACTAGCAGCAGTTCTGCGGACAAGATGTATGAATGGTAGCCGGCGTGCTCGGATGACGTCATACAGGCGCCATTTTGTTTAAAAAATATATAAATATAAAATATATAACAGCAGATGTCTGGGGGACAGTGATTCGCCTACATGTTATGAATAGGGACGCACGATATAATCGGCCCCCTATCGGTAT